GTTTTGGGTAGTATTTTAATTAAGGTATTAGTACAAGTACAAATAAAAATTAGGGTATATGTATAACTACAAATAAAAAATAAGGTTAGTATATGTGCAAATAAAAGTAATATTGATGGTGAGTCTCAAAGAAAAATTAATCAAATATATCATATCTGATAAAGATAAACCATCTTAATCTCGGAGGGTTTGACCTCACATTTGCATAGTTGAATCAACATGCACCCATATTAGTTATGTACTTATGTCTTATGTGTGTATTTGTTGATCCAACATTAACAAACTTAATTATTAAATGTGCCTTTAATTAATCTCAATGAAATTGCATTAACAGAACACTTGTATTAAAGTGTAAAGCCGAATACAAGCAAGCGATGGAACTAGAGAAGAGTTGACCATAACCAATTATATAGATTATTGTAACATTGACCAATCGAAAAAGATAAAAATGTCATTATATAGAGAGGACCATCTTTATAATCTTTAGAGAGGACCAATTATATAGAGGCCATCTTGTTGATGGCCTCTTTATGTGTTTCTGAACTATTAGGGTCTATTCAGGCTCTCGGCTGTTTGTACATATTTTATGGAATGAAGCTTTCTATCGTTTTGGAAAAAGAAAAAGGGGTCATTCGATGTATATAATATTTTGTACAATGATAATTTTTCTAATCGATAATTATTTATTTTAATTTTGTTATTTGATTGAATTTTATGATTTATTTAACTATAATCAAATTGATATCATTCGTAAATGTGCACAATTAAAAAGATTATTAATTTATAAATATCAGAGCGTAAAGACGCGAGGTAGCTTTTCCAGTCCCACTAAAGATTGCCTAACTCAGAGTATTTTTTATATATTAATTTATAATATTTTAGGTATTTTTACCATAAGCATTTATTCGAACCTAACATTAAAAAGCTCAAAGTGTAAAGATGTTTTGACTATTTAGCCTTCGAGCTCTATCTTGTAATAACTTTTTTTTATGAATATAATCTATCGTTTCGAAAAAAAAAAATTATAAAAAATAAAAAATATGTTGAAGAATGTTTGACAACTTTTAACGAATTGGAATCAACCGTGTTCATATAGAAACGAATACATAAAAATGTTTGACCTGGTTTTGACCATTTATTATTCATTTCATGCCCACAAACAAAAATGTTCTGTGCAAATCCTTTTGGAATTACTTATCTTAGATATGCAGCTAAACTAAAAACCCCAATGAATTACTGAGCTGAGCTTCATAACCTATTGCTCTATGGTTATTCTCCCAGATATGATTTTCAGGGCATAAAATGTCTTGTTAAATCTCCCTAAAACACGACCCGACATATACTGGTGTATTGCTCTTATGGTATACAAATGATTCCATTGAACAGATTCATTCGTACGCATTCTGTATACCTTACATCTTAAGTGAAGGATTATATGCTTTTAGCTGGGGAACCAAATTTATCCATATGGAACCTTATATCTCAATCAAAATCTTCAGAACTGACATTAGAGAATATTAACCGTACATAGTTAAAAAAACACTTCATATGAATGAGTTCCATCCTTGGTACAGCACCAATAGGAGCCGCACAATTCTTCACAAAGATAATATCCAGAAAGCATAAATCAACCGTGATGTCACTGAAATCGAGTACTCACCGTTATTATTGTCTTTTTTGTGTTCTTTCTGAAAGTTATACACACAACAACTCAATAACGGTATTTGGTGGAGTAATCCTTGGGAGCAATAACGAGACCACGGCCCTTCCTGGCCCCACGGTATACAGTCTCGACAATGTCGATGAATTCCTGCTTGTCCTTCATGGCCCAGTTGATCTTGTTGTTGTTTCCCGTGCCAAGATCGATCATTATGTGCTTGTTCCTGAAGAAGAACATAATAGTTGAGGGATCATATAGTTCATACATTGTATTGAAATCGGGAACCTCCGTTATGTCCACGAGGTAAATAACCGCAAAGTTCTTTAGGGTCTCGGCTACTGAAGCCAACACCTCATCCATCTGAAAAATTATGGCAAGTTGAAAAAATAAGATTTGCTGATAAGCAACATTCCTAAGCACATGAAAGAAGCAGATAGAACAGAAGAAATAATAAAAAACGAAAGAAAAAGAAGAAAATAAAAATATCAGCAGAATAGGAGGACCTGATGAGAGCATTATCAAAGAAAGATCTCAATTCTTGGAGCATCATTCTTATAGGAAATGGTTCGGCATGACACAAAAAAACTAACAAATGAATTGCTATTAGGTTAGAGACTTAGAGTATATACATACATGCCTATCATGACAAACGATGCTTACATAAAATCTAAAGATTAGGCGAACAAATCCAATACGAAACTTTAATTCCCACTCCTTTCCCCTAAAGGCGTGTACGCCAAGAGGGGAGAGGAAAAAAGTATTACTGTCACTCGCCAAAATACATTATTGCAATGATGTGAAACATGTCAAACGTCTAATTCATTTAAACCGTAATAATCTCGCTCCATGTACTTGAATAAATATTCCAATCACACAAAAAGACTCAAGAGCTAAGTATTATCTGCATTAGAAATGTGTATCTAAAACAAGTCCTATATGTCTGCACAATGACTGCAACTTATTGATGAAAAACGACATCCGTGAAGGTGATTTACTCGGCTGTATAACGGGTTTAACGGGTAATGTATCTTCATAACAAATACTATCCAACCAAGCACACACACTCAAATTACTTCTGCCAACAAATTAATAAACTAAATAAACCACCAAATTACAGGCCATTTATCCATAACCCAGATCATAACACTTCATAGCTAATAATTGCTCAGTCAGCAAATCAATTAACAATTCTTTTAATTAGCAGGTCAACAATGTCGAAATAAATTTCCAATTCAATCAGAACTATAGATTCACGAGAACCCTAACTAATGTAATCGCCACAATACAACAATTTGGGGGGAAAACAGAGCACGAACGCGACGAATTTGAATTGATAAAAAGAAAAAAAGTTGAGATAATTGACCTGCATGCAGGTCTCGTCCCAGTCGTGGCCAAAGCGGATGATGACGAGGCGCTCCTCCTCGGCGAGTATCGCCTGGTCGACGGCCCACCCGGAGTGAAGGTGCGGCAGCAAATACGACATCGTTTATGGTTTTTTTTTTTTTTTTTTTCAATTTCTCTGCTTACTCTCTACGCGGATTGGGAATAGAATGCGATGTGGCTGGAATTTTAGGGACGTATAGCAAAATACAAAACTTCGGTGGACATCGGATGATTTTCTTATTGAAGCCATCCACGATGTATTTATTAAAAGATACGTGTTTATACACTTTTTTAAATAAGTGTAAATGACTCAAGAAGTCGAGTCATTCGATGGCTCCAGAACAAAATTGAAGCAAAATAAGTACGTATTCTATTTATTAACTTATGCTAAAGACATAAATTCTATGGAACCACCATCGGATGGCTCTCTTATAGAGTCATCCTTAATTTTATTTACTAACACATGTCCAGTATGCATTTATTACATGATACGTGACAATACATCATTTGTAAATAACTGTGGATGACTCAATAAGTCGAGTCATCCGATGGCTCCATAGTAAAACCGATACTAAAGATATTATGTCATCTTATTTATGCTAAAAAAAATCAAATTTAATGTATATTTTGCTTTCTATTGTTTAATTCATTACTTTAATGTAAATTAATAGTATCGTATGCTATATTTGAAATTTAAAAATTCCTCGATTTTATTAATTATTTTAATTTTTTCAAATTAACTAAAATGCATGCTACTAGAGTTTTTTTTTTTTTTTTTTTTTTTTTTT